GATCCGGGGTGGAGGCCACACACCCTGCTACAATCAATCAATTAGCACCGTTGCTCTTTACAGAGCATGGTGTATGAGCTGATGAGTTCTTTGATAGCTGCCGAGTCCAATGCACGTGTGAGGGTCTGCCCACAGACAGGACACACCACCCATGCACTAGCAATGCTCTGAATCCGAGCAGCAGATTCTTTCCTCCTCTGATGCTGGTCATCACAAAACTTGATCCGGTCAACCCTGCAGCGCCTTGCTCATCTGCAAGCTGACTCCACCAACCAGAGCAGCACTCTGCGCTGCTTTCCCAATCAGCCACAGAGGTGCCAAAAGATGCCGAGTCTCCTTTGCAAGCATCCCGAAACCTGTGCAGCACCTGCCGCCTCTTTTGTAGGCCCTGCACGAGCTTCTGAGTACAGCACATTTGTCAGGATCCTGTGATCTGGTATCCTCTTGACATGACCAAGCCACCTGAGTCTCACCTTACTTATCAACTTTCCCACGAATGACAGACCAGCACCATTTAACACTTCCACGTTTGCTACCCTGTCCTGCCATCTTATTCAAAAAATTTGAGGCAGGCACCTGATATGAAAGCTGTTTAGTCCCCTGCTACAGAGGAAGATAACCCCCCACCCCCACCATGGGGACCAATCTGAACAGGGCGTAAAACTCCTTCCTGACCCCAAACCTGCCGTGGGTCTGACCAAGCAGAGGGGCAAGACCCTCCTGCCAGGTCTGTCTGACTTGGGTCCCTGTGGGAGCGCTGGCACAGCCTGGTCACTGCCAACTCATGGAGAAGTGGGGTTAAAAGAGACCTCAGGAGGCCCCCCCGTCCAGCCCCTGGCGTCCTTGTGACACGAAGACACCTTGTTGGCTCCAGAAATTGGTCTGATGACGTTTCACGTCCCTGATATGGCCACGAGCCCTTGGTGCCATGCTGCTGAAGGGGGCCACCTTCCCCTTCAGACCTGCAGCAGCCGGCACCCCCGAGAAAAGCTTTAATTCACCCAGCACCCCCGAGGAGGGCCTTGACCCCACCAGCATCCCCGAGGGGGGCCCTGACCCCCCACCTGCCCCTCCCCCACGCTGCAGGCTCCTGGGGCTCAGGCTGTGCAGCGCCGCGCACCCCGGAGGGGCCCTCGAGGCTCTGCCCCCCTCCCTCACCTTCATGTCGCGCTCGGGAATCAGGTCCATGTCGTCGCCCATGGTGACCAGGCCCGGCCGAGCCGCGGCCGCGCGCTACGCACTCCACTGACACTATCCGGCCACTTCCGCTTCCGGCCCAGCCGGAGGCCACTCTAGCCGCGCCGCTCGATGGTAGCTGCGGGCGGGGGAACTAGAGAACAGGGTGGGGAGGGGAGCGGGGCTGCGAGAAGGGGCGGGGCCTTAGGGGAGGGGGCGGGGCCTGCCCCTGCGGCAAACATTAATGAGTTTTACGAGCAGGGGTGCTGGTTTTCTCGGATTAAAACTCCCCACTTTTCGGTTTAAGAAAATGTAACCCCAAATGCACATTTTCCCATGACTAAAATGAAACACCACTATACCTATCTATTAATCTGTCTATACATACGGATCGATTTATCTATTTATCTATATATAGATATAGATCTATCTATACAGATCTAGATAGATAGATTTATCTATAGATAGATATATAAATAAACACACACACGGTGTTTCGGTTTAATCACAGAAAAATGTGCATTTGGGGTTTGTTCTTTTTAAACCGAAAATTGGGGATTTTTTTAAATCCGAGAAAACCAGGATCCCTGCTTATGAGCCCTGTTGACAAGCCCCTGGTGCCCCCAGCCCCAGGCTGCTGTGCCCAGTTGCCCCAGCAGGACAGAGAGGAACTAGAGATGGCCCCACAAGGGCAACCAGGGGGATTAGGGGCTCCCACGCAAGGAGAGGCGAAAGCCCAGCCTCATCGGTTGGGAAGAGAAACACTTGTGGGGTGGTGGGGGACGAGGGATGAGAGGGGTCCACACCACCCTAAATGGCAGAGAGGTCAGCCAGGATTGAGCGCTGAGTCTCTCTCGCCAGCCCAGAGTATGAAACAAGCAGGTCATCAGTGTAAAATGAACGCCAAGACGTTGTTTTGCACCCAGAGGGTCACTAGTGCAGGGAGCTGACTGTCCAGCCAGATTCAGCGAAAGGCCTGGACCTGTTCTTGGAGGGTCGCTGTTGAGCCTGGGAGCGTGGGCCACGGCCTCTGAAGGAGCTTCCTAAGACCTGAAATGCTGGAGGCCGCAAGAGAGAGAGGGACAATAGGGAATAACTCCTGGTCAGACCCAGTTCCCGCTTCCTTTCAGCATTCGCTCTTTGCCACTGCGGGAAACAGACTTATTTGTTACTTCCCAGGGATCGTGGGCTCTCCCCCACCAAGAACTAGAAGACTTCCTTAGGACAGGAGGCCTCTAAGAAAGTAACAACTAATTTCTTGGGACAAAAGAAAGGCAAAACAGGGATGGGAACAATGGTCAAAGGTCCAAAAAGAGTGCGCCAAGACGGCACACCAAGCAGAGCACAGCAGATATTGCCCGCTGGCTCTCGAACGTGTTCATGGAGCCAGTGGACGCTGCTCGGTGAGACGTGAATGGAGCAGGGACAGGAAAACAACCCCACAGTCCCTGGGGGCCCTGTGTGCGACACAGGCCTTTTGATGTACCGTTTGGGAACACGGGCCAAAGCTCAACACGTAGAGCTATGAGCCCCGCCTGGTGATGGGGGCCACTAGGGGCATATCACTGATTGTTTGGGACAACTCAAAGCCAAAACAGGGCCAGGAGCGCTGGTCAAAGTTTCAGAATGATTGCGCTGGGGGACAATCTTAAGGCGCCAGCTCCTGGAGTCCTGTTATGCACTCAGCAGCTCTCCAGCACCTGGCTGTGCCCATTCAGGGGAGAGTGTCCCAGCCACCCCCTTCCAGCTCCCAGCACAAATAGAAGGGAGGGCGCTACCCTTTTAATGGTGCAATGGGGGCTTGGCTGTGCTGTGTACCTGTCCCCACTGCTACTACTGAGAAGGCTGGTGATCCAGCTCTGTCAGCCACTACCGACATGCTGTTTTTAGCTGAATTTTTTCAGTCCAATTTGTGCTCTCCTGGCCCAAGGCATTTCCGTCACTGGCACCAGGCATCATTTGTAGCCTGCTGTGGTTTTATCGTAGCTCTTTAAAGTCAGCCAGTGCTCTGCTCTGATGTGCTGTAGTGTTTAAATGGAGCACAGAAGCACACGCAAGAGCGTGTGAAGGGCAAACGCAGCAGCGCTGCCTGTGCAATCTCATTAGCCAGCCTTGCCCCAGGACACCAGCTGTTAGATCCTACTTGCCTTTTTCCACACCTGAGGCCAACATCACCCCTGCTGTAAGCAAATACAATTGCATTAGTGCTGACCTTAGTGGCGTGACAGCCTCTTACGCTTAGGCTTGCAGCGTAAATGGCCACAGAGTTAAGTCTCTGACCACCTTGGGCTCAGGATGCAGAAAACTAATTGCTCAAAGCAGAGCCCAGTGCGATTTGCAGCCAATTGCTTTATCCAGAGGAGGCTTTACAGCAGGGGAAATTCTCTTCACTCGGTCCACCTGCTTGCACGAGAGGATTTGGAGGCAGCTGTAACACAGCATAAGTGTGCAGTCATTTCAGCCCATAGCAGGTAGTCCAGACAGTACAAAAGACCTGCTAGTACCAGCTAAGCTAGTTTCGCTCTAGCTCAAGGATAAGAGTCCTTGTTACAATAGTGCCAGGATGTCCGGATTACGTTCAATAACCAACTGAAGCAAGGGGGACAAAAATCTCCCACTGGTAAATCACTTGCCCTCTTGGTTCCAATTCTCCAAGACCTGAAGTGAGTGCTGGCCCCAGGGAAGTACACGCACTCTTTAGAAAGACTGTAGCAGAAGTCCTCTACTTGTTTCTCCTGCCCATGCTGGGGTACAAGGGCAGCTGTGCAGCCCTTTGCAATGCCAGCTGAGGAATCTGCCCCACATCTCCTGGGCCCTGCTTTGGTGATTTGCATTAGGATGGAAGGACTTGTCTTTTGCCCTTATTCTTCAGGGATGGGATGGAGGCAGGGGTTGTACCTGGAGAGAAGTTTTGTTGTTCCTGCAGTGGAAAACAAGCAGTGGTAACAGAAGCATTTCAGACAGATGTGCTTTGATTTAAGATTTCCACCTCCTGTTTGTATCCCAGGACAAAAGCGTGGGCCAAAATGAGTTGGCAGAAGGTAGGCAAAACCCTCCTGGGGGGGTTAGAACTCGGTTTTACCCCGGTCCAAACAAAACCAGGACATGCTGAAGCTTCAAGTTGTTTCAGAAGGTTTATTGTTCCACCTGGACAAGCCGAGCTGTGCCACCCTCATCTGCAGTCTCTCCCTCTGTCACAATTCCAAAGTTTTCATACAAAGATGATAGCAAGACATAAAAAAAAATTACAGCCCTTGGAAGGAGCAAGATGTCTAGTCAAGTTACAATTATTTGGACATTTTATTTATACAAGGATTTAAAAAACCACAAAAGTTAAAAGCTGCCAAGAACATAAAAGAAGAAACAGAGTAAGCAATGAAACCCCAGCAGCAAACAACCAGATTTCAAGAGTTTTAAGTAGAAAGCAATGATCGCACCAGTGTCCCGAATGATCAGCGCATGGTCCCAGCTACACTGGCATCAGGCGAGTCCTTCCCTGCCCTCGAAAGGTCCCAGCTCTGCAAAGACAACCTTTCCAATGTGCTGAATTTCACTCATGAGCATGGTCCCATTGTAATACATTTAAACAAAAGCATTTGTTTGTAAGAGCCCAGAAGTTCAGAGGCCAGCTGTATAAAGAAAGTAAACTCCCCCACAGCAAGGCTGGATGGATTCGAGGGGCTCAGACTGGACTCCTCTGATCTCACTTTCTCCTGCAGCTGTAGGACATCCCCAGCATTTTCTGTGAACGTCCAAAGCAAGACTAGCTGGGCTGGTTTTCCCACCAGGTGAGAGAGAACAGCCAATTTAGATTTGATTTTATGGAACTGAACTAACTGGCCACTGGCAGTGAGAGAAACGACCAAACTTCAGAGGCCAACTGCTTATTCACATTACAAGGAGCCTCCTAGAAAACCCAATATATTAGGAAGTCTACCTTTAAAAACTCAATAGACAGAAGCAGCAACAGCTTTTGCAACCAACAGTTGACTTAGTAGAATCATCTCCAGGGACATCAGGCATCCACCCCGGGCAAAAAGGGGCCCACCAAGATACTCGTTTGGCTCTGCAGCTTCTTCACAGATTCAACATTTGTGTTTGCATCCTTCAGTCAGCAGCCAGGAAAATTGCTATGTGGGGCCAGCTCTTGCCCATTGTCTCATTTCTGGCATGAGCTTCAGCTTATAGCCACCCAGAAATGCCTTGACATGTCAAGTAGCTCCTTTTGTAGTTTCCGTATGAAAAAACAGCAGTGGCATATTCCTGCCAGCAGCTTGCAGAGCACACTCTAGGCTTACTCCTACACATTCAGCAGGCTTAATATAGGTGGAAGTCACTGAGACTTTAGCTTGCCTTAATGTAGGGAGGATTTCCCCTGTCCTGCAGGTTTTAAGCTTCTATTATGCCCCAATTTCAGCCAGACATTTTAGCAGATCTAGAAACTTACGGGTTTACACCTTGATTCAGCCAGCAGGAAAGGCCTCTCCAGGCTCCTAAACACCCAAGCATCTAACCCAGCTCAATCCCAGGGCCAATGTATCCTGGAGCACGTGGTTTGGAGAGTTTCTCTGTTTCATGGGGACAGCTAGCTTGATGGGGGGCATTGATTAAAGCCAGTGCTTCACTTCCAATAAGCAATCCTTCACAACACATTAAGATTACAAGCTCCCCAATACCCACCACCATGCATTTCCTAATTTGCAATCAATTGCTCTAACACCCACAAGAGGCCTGTGCCTTAGAGGCTTGCAGGGTTCTCTGGTTTCTCCTTCCTAGTCTTACCATTGCTACTTCTATACAGACAGAAAGACAAAAGTATCCAGTCAGACCCCCTCATTTCTCACCAAGCCCTGCCGTAGCCTTCATAGCCTGACCACAGCAGTCAGCACCAAGGTTGGGGATCATTTATCAACAAGAACTCCCTAAGAGTGGATGCCAAGAGAGGCAGGGAGGCTGGATGTCAAAATTGGGGTCTGTGTTGGTTAGGGAAGAGCAAGCATGACTGAATAGGGACAGAGAGGAGCACTGCTGATTCAGTGTACCCGTGGCTGGGACCGTC